GTGTTCTCAAAGCTACCAACATGAGTTTGACCAAATTGCGGGAGGCAGTGGAAGACAGGAGTGCCTGGAGTGCTCTGGTCCATGGGGTCACGAAGAGTTGGACACGACTAAACAACAACAACCACATGCGAACCAAAACCTAGCCATTCTTTATATTCACGCTTCTCTGAATTTTGCAATGCACTTCTCCAGCTAAGCAATGTGAAGAAAAATGCATATGCAAGGGTTAAGTGTGCAAGACAATGCATAGATGGGTGAAAATATGCCTGATATAGCAGAACATTGCTTTGCAGCAATGTGTACACATGGCGAAGTTACATTTTAAAAATGTGCAAATTAGGAGCAATCCCCACTAAAATGCTGATGATTTTTTAGGAGAACGTAAAAGAAGAAGAAGAAGAAAAGCCCACCACACACTGATGCAGAAATGTGGAGAGCTTAATTGAAGACTGGGAAATTGAGAAACTGAGAGAAACCAGAATTGGCAGAGTCACCCATCACTAGTAGAGATTGGATTCTACCACTCCTGCTATTGTCTGTCCTCCTGCCCAATCCACATTATTCACATGCCAGCCTCTGATTATTCACAACTTCGGGAAACTATAGCTATTCACATTGCTTCAAATCCCTCCATGGCTTACCTTGGATTAGCCTGGAAATAAGCTGAGCCATTAACCAATATAATAATAATTATAATTAGGAAATGACTGGACTTATTTCCAAGCTAATCCGAATTCAAAACAGCACTCAGCCTTTGCCGCCTAAGACTGTAGCCGAAGGTCATGGTGTAGCTTTTAGTTCAATATAAAACTCAACAGCTTGGGACCAGTTTTATTTGAGCGATGCTTTTACCTCGTCCGTACCCACTTGATGGCTTTGATCTCTGGAACTTGCACTTTTACAAGTGCCATATAATCTTCCTTCTGCATCTGCGAAGGATTTCTCTTTTTGCACAGCGGCCCCCATGCTCTTGAATTTCCTTCCCAGTAACATCAGCGAGGCACCTCTGCCACACTGTTTTCGACATCTAATGAAAACTTACTTGTTCGGATGAGCCTATCCAGACATGTAGTTTTGTCACACATTCTTGTTCTGTTGATTTTATCTGGGTATTTTTTAAATAAATAAATAAATAAATAAATAAATAAATAAATAAAACTATTTCATGCAATATATTCATGAAACTATATGAACTTTCGGTGCAAAGATTTTGAAAACGAAAATGCACTGCAAACTTGAAGCCCCAGTTTGACTAAGTTTTTTTACTCTTGGGAAAATTGCTGTGTGGTTGGTTTTTTTTGTGTGTTTTTTTTTTGCTTTGCTTTTGCTTATTAAGATATGTGCTGTCTTCTTTTGCATACACCAAATCTCCACCTCCCAACCTGTTCGCAGGTCGACACAGACTTCTTCCCTTTCTTATGTGCTAAATTCTCCAGTATCTTATCCGGGGTGGTACGTTCCTTACCTTAATTACATCCTCTGTGCCCATCTGCTACTGCTCAACTTTTTGGGCTTGTTATCTTGGCTACATCTGCCATCCTGGCTGTTGTACAACCCTAGAGGGGGGGGATTTGCAATTGCTCCAAAGTAGACATCCCTTCCAAAACAGATCAGAATATTGACCACGGCAGAAAAGTTGCAACCAAAACAGAGTACCTTAAGAATGAAAACCCAGCTACTCTTGACAGTAAACACGCACACAATAAGCAAGGAAATTTAATTATTGGAGGAAGTCCGCTGAGGAGGGAAGTGAGCATACATTTTAATGAAGGGAAATCAGACCATCAGAGCAAGCGTCCTAGCGGAGTTGATCTTTCTCCAAGATGCAATTACTAGCTGGCCGGAAGACTGGGAATTTAAATGAAATTGTCAGCTTGAGCACTTCTCGTGGATCATCTGAACAAGAAGAGGCTGCGTTTAGCTCAGCCTAATTCCAAAAACCGCCACATTGAAAACGAAGCGGGTCTACTTCAGAGAATGCAAACTGTAGCCACAGAAACAATTCCTGCCCCTGCCCCCATTTGTGCCAACAAATAGTTGGCATGTCTAGATGCAAATCAAGGTGTGGATCCCACCCTCCTAACAATCTGAGGTATCATTTTGAGGTACGTCAGGTGTGGGGAAGGTTTGGCCTTCCAGATGTTGCTGGACAACTCCTGTCATCCCTGGCCATTGGCTAGGCTTTCTGGTGCTTGTGGGCCTTGCTGTTGGGCAATATCTAGAAGACCAAAGGTTCCTCACACCTGAACTATGTCAATAAAGTGGCAGATTTCCTCATGAAATCCTCATCAGTAAGGAATTCTTATCAGTCAGTGCTTATCTGGATAGTTCAGCCTCCTTCTGTATCACTCAATGTACTTCTCCTGATCTTACTTGACATTCAAACCAGTTTAGGACCTGAAATTGTGAAGAGAATTATTTTCCTTTCTTGTGACTAATGTGAGGATGCGACTACAGCTTAGGATCGATCAGTTTGTTGACTGGCAAGTAACTCGCTGGGTACAATGAATGTGCAGCCATAGGATGTATCAAATAATATATTATATTGAGGGGCGAGGGGCGGTTAGCTTTCATGATGTTGGGCAAAAGATTCCTGCATTGCAGGGGGTTGGACGAGATGGCCCTCGCGGTCCCTTCCAAGTCTACAATTCTATGATGCCTGAGTTCCTTGTAATTCTGGGGGTCTAGCAAGGGTTAAAATCTAATGGAGAATTCCATTGTTGAGTTAGCCAAGCAAAAGCCGGGCGTATGGCACCCCATGTGGAAAATGTCGACTGGAAAACTTCAAAAGCTCAACAACTTTTGAAATATGGCAACCCTACCATAATTACCACCTAAGTATGCTTATTAGTCTGATAAAAGATGGTGCTCTGTGCTAGAGGGCAAATGACCTTACCTGTTAGTGAGAAAGACAAAATCCAGTGTGTGAGAGCTGGGCTAGAAGCAGGCAGAAACCAGAGAGTGAGAGCCATGCTTGATTTCTTCCTGATGCCAAGGCTGGGGCTATGAGAGATGGAAGATTTTCTGGGGTGTTGATGTTGTAAGCTCCTCCATCATAGGCTCAGATTGTAGGTATGTGTATATACAGTCTCTGCTGTCCCTCATTCCAAGGAAACCAAACCCTGAATAAGCTCCTGGAACCCCTGGAACCTCTCCTCACACCGCTTGTAGATTGGGGTGTCATGCAACAATACACATACACCATCCCAGTTTGCACATCATGGTAAACTATGGTTAATATGATTGTGTCTATGGGCACTCTTCCACACCTCCCCACTTATGCTGGGATCATAGGAGCCAACTCTTAGGGGCTGAGGTTCCTTCGGCCTCCCCAATAAAATATTTGAGGGGGCCTCTCCACCCCACCCCCCAGTTGATGGGCTTGGCCATTCAAATGGTGCGTGTGTGCCATATCATGTGATGGATTATGAGAGATGGAGCTTACCTGGTCACCCCCAAATATTTTATTGAAGATGGCAGCCTTGGCTGGGATGAAACAAACCATGAATCCAGGCTTTGTGTTACAACACAGCCAGAGATCATGGCTTGTTTCAGATCTAACAATACATGATTTGCGGCTGGAGCTGTTCTTGGCTTACTGATCACAGTGTGTTGGAGCAAAACAGACCATCACCTCTGGTGTGGACATAATGAGAGCTCAGGGATTGTGGTTTGTTTCCACTCAATGCGAGCAGGAAGGAGCAAAAAAGTCTCTTAGGATCAATTAGGACTATTAACTGTGACATGTGACCAGTTCCACTGGGTTTGTTCCTCCGCACTTGAGGTAGAAAAATGAAGAGGCTTTAAAGTTCTAGCTTGATTGGAGTCTGAGATGCAGTTCTCTGATGTTATCTTTTTCCAGATCTAGTTAATTTTCTGGCACAAGGTGGATTTAGATAGGACGTTTTGTGCACAGCACAGCCTAAATAATATGGCACGTGGCCACGTAGACCTTGTGTTTTCAGGGAGCTTGAAACAGTGCATCTTTGTTTTTCTACCTCACCAGACACAATGACCCAAAGTGCATCTGCTCAGGCTAATGAGTCCCTGGAGACAATGCTGGACCACTGGATAACAGCAGGCCAGCCGACCTTCTGCAAGAGTTGGGCAGGTCAGCTCAGGACAAGCAAGGCCTCTAATGAACTGCACTTTCCCAGACGGTTCACAGGGACATCATCACCCAGGACCTTGGCACAAAGCTCCCTCCCTCCCCACCGCCAACACACACAGATCAATTTCCTCAAATAAAGGGCATTTAGCATATTGGGGATGCTAGCAACAGCAGGAGAGGGAAAAGGCTCAGGCTCTGAAATGCTGGAATGGGCAACGGCTGGTCTTCCTTGTGTACCTGAGAAACAGTCTGTGCTAATGTGCACTAATGTTATCAGTGCCGGATTTATGTATAAGCTAAACAAGCTATAGCTTAGGGGGCCCCTCTCTTGCCGCCCCTCCCCCAATTTAAAGGGGAAAAAACCCTGGATGTACATTTCCTAAATATAAGATAAAAAACAAATAAAATAAAACCTACATACAGCAACAGTGTTTTGTGTTGTGTAGGCTCCTATGATGTAAGTAATGGGCCCCGCCTGCTATATAAAGGGCCCCATTACCTTCAGTATCCAATCTCTCTGAAGGTGTGGTCTGAATTTAAGTATCTGGCTGCAAGTAGTTCAAGTTCTCAAGTAGTGTGGCAACAGGGCCAGGCTGGCCTTGAATGTGTCAAATGTGCTGTAGTGGCCTCCCTCTACCCCAGCTAGAACCATAAGGCTACCTGCGGACCATCTTGCCCTGAGGGGAGGAGAGTTCTTGTTTCTCTCCTTGCAGTTTGTCTTGGCTGCTTTATTATATAGGGTTAATCCATCTTTGTTGCTTCAGTATTTTCATGTACACTGTTGCGATGCCCTCCGGAAAAATGGCACAGAAATATTGTAAAGTTTTTGGGATCCCCTTATGGTTATGGCAACAAGCACCAGCCCTGTCTAATAAAACAACCTCCATGGTCTCCGTACAGGTGACGGTTTATTATTTTTAATACTAAACAAGCAAACAAATAATTGATGAGGTGCCCCCACAATTGTGAGGCCTAAGGACGTTGTGGTGATGATTATCCAGCAGTGGGATGCTGGTGGATATCTCAAGGATGCACACCTTTGCTGTTTTGCTGCTTCCCAAATAGGAACACACACATCCTGCAACAATCTTCCACTTTCCGCTGAGTTCCATCGCTTGACATCATCCAGCTAAGATGCATATTTAGAAATAAACTGGTCTAAAAATAGGGAAAAGAAGAGAGACAAATTTGAACAAGATTGGAGGTTTAAGGAAGGTTGGAACAGTAAAGAAGGGGAAAGGGTTGACTATAATCCTTTTACAGTGCTATGAGAAAGTATTATTCCATGCCACCCCTATCTCTACATGAGATTCCAGGGGTTCCAGTCACTTACGGAGGGGTTGTGTTTCCACTGGAAAGATTGAGGCACAATGGAGGCGAGTGCCTTTAAGAAATATGGTTTATTAACCCATATATGCACCACTTAGAAAAGCATTTACAGCTTTGCGTCTTCAGTGTATGCCCTCCACATATCTAATGGGAAGAGTCAATAACACCCCTGTGCACCAAAGACTTTGCATCTGTGAGTCAGGAGACGTAGAGGACATTCAACACTATTTGTTACGATGCCTTTTATATACATCACATAGACAAAAATTCCTCAATTACATCCTTTGCTCTCTTTCCAACAGAACTCACCTTGAGTAAATCTCTATTTTGCTGGCTGGCAATAATGTATTTACTACTGCACGGGTTGCAAAATTTGCCTTGGTGCAAGTAAGTTGAGAGCTAGGCGCCAAGACAAGTATCATAAAGGGGAGTGTGAAACGTGGAGTGCTTAACTTATGCAAGAGTGACCATTTCCCACATTAAATGGGGGAGCGCCCTTTGCATGGTCGCATGCAGCCCCCTGGACCCTATGCGGCACCATTAGCACAGGCTTGGCTTCGCCTTCCCAGGTGGGATACCTGGAGGTCTCCGCCTACCTCAGCCAGTTGCCCAATCCCACCTGTGGAGGCATTGCCAAGGTGATCAGGCCAGGTAGGGGGAGGGACACCCTGCCCACACAATAGGGGAGGATCTTACCTGGGAGATAAGAGCTTCTCCCACCCTATCCACCCTCAGTTAAGACTTTTTCTGCAGGTTAACCTTTTCTCCACAGGTACGCGGGCGCTGCTACGTCAAGGTCATTGTTGAAGGGCCAGAAAGGAATTCTCCTGCATGTTCCCCTGATGTTCCTCAGATCCCCGGTGGGGGACTGGGAGGGATAAATGCCCAATGCCTGGGCCAAGGCCTACCCACATCTGAAACATAATAAAGTTGTGGCCAATTTTTAATCCCATAGCACATTGCCTTGAGTCGTTATTCCACACAGGGGCCGCCTAGGGTTTGGGGGACTCCGCCTCTCTGCACAATGATTTCTGCATTTTTGTATGTTTGCTTTACTTTGTTGTTGTTGTTGTTGAGTTGTAAATCAGTTATTTGTATCCTACGCATTGTGACCAATTGTGATAGCTTATAGCTTTTAGCAATAAAGATTCATTCATTCATTCATTCATTCATTCAACCAACTAACCAACCAACCAACCAACCAACCAACCAACCAACCAACCAACCCACATATACACCTGGAAGTCTGCAATGGAGGGGGTGCAGAACATTATACTCCAAGAGTGTCTCTCATTGCCCCTCCCATAGCTTCTGCAAGCTTGGGTCCAAAACAGCAGTCAGTCATGGAGTTTTGGTGTTGTTCTCCTTCCCAGCACACCTTTTGCCCAAAACCTAAGTCTCCTGCAAAACACTTTCCTCCCCTCTCCATCACCTTGGCAGCCTGTGTTTTGCAGAGACCTGAGTACCTCCTTTGATGTGTAGATACCTAGGCTACTTTGCCTAGGCTAAACACAGGAATTTATTTTGGAACAGTTCAGGAGAACTGCTGAAGCCTGCATTTCCCCCTTCAATATCCCAAATATTAGCTAGAGTCTGATATTCATTAATTTATTGGTTTTGTAACTCTACACAGCCTTCCCTATCTGGTATCAGCAATTATCAGAGGCTCAAATCCCTCCCCCCATCATATAATTATTATTTAGCATAAAGCAGTTTGTTATTGTCAAGAATGGGATCTGTTAATACGTTTAAAAATGTTAATTATAATATACTTTGAAAGTAACATTTAAAGAAGTATCTTTTCTATCTTTTTCTTCAGGAGATTGAAGAGCTAGGTTTTGGGGTGTGCTCCCTTCCTGGTTTCAGTAGACATGGGCCCTTTTTAAATAAAGCAAACCCCTGCTGAGGTGCCCCCCCCCCAAAACACCAAGCCTTGGGGAGGTTGCGCTGCTGCCTCCCCAGCTGTTGCCGTTGTCTATGGACCTCCTGTGATGTGACCAAAGGACACGTTGGCTGAGGGGAAAGATGCAGTTATTAGGGAAGTGGTGATATAAACTGGTGCTACCAATCAGGCCTCTGACATATCACCCACCAAGCAAATCTTCTCTATGTCTCTGTCTCCCCCTCCATCCCCCATGCTAAGCGGCTTCTTCTGTTGTGGATCCTGGCCTAATGATGCTTCCACACCAGGTGTGCTACATTCAGCTGTTGTTTGCGAGCAGTTCAGCAACAAGCCCCCGGAGAGGTTAATAACTTCTCTCAATTTACAAATGTTTTGACAAGACTGCTTGCTGCCCTTTATGGTGATGGGAGTGATAATGATGCAGGCGCGACCTCTGCCTTGTCACCATTTGGCCACTGCAGCCTCGTGAAATAGGAACTCCAGTGCCCTGGGAGATAATCTGCAGGAAGCCTTGTGCCAGAGCAATCCTGATGCCTTTCCCAGGCCCTCACTGCATTGTTTTGAAGCCTGCAAGCATCTGGGGGTGGAGGTGGAATCAGCATTTGAGACCAAGCGCCAAGCCAAAGTTGACTGCTGTCATTATACAATAAAACAGCACGCTGAATTTCCCATTTCTAATTGAACAGCTGAAAGCCCCCACAGACATTAGGCACTTGTTTATGGATCACTCGTCAGATCAGGAACTGGAAGGCACTGCAGGCAGCTAGTAAGGAGGAAAAACCATTTAAAATACACTGGAAATGTTACTTTGCTGAATTAATGAACAAAACCTTGCAAGCTGTGGTTGCACTTGGAAACTAAATGCGGGTCACCTGCTTCACCCCTTATTTCGCTTAAATTGTGGAGGGGAAGGGAAAAATTAAAAGCAGCAATTTATTTCCAGAATAATTTTCAATGCAAGTTGGCATTAAGTAAACTGTCAACGGGAGGAAAGCAATGGCAAACCTAGACAGCATCTTAAAAAACAGAGACATCACCTTGCCAACAAAGGTCCGTATGGTTAAAGTTATGGTTTTCCCAGTAGTAATGTATGGAAGTGAGAGCTGGACCATAAAGAAGGCTGATTGCCGAAAAATCGATGCTTTTGAATTATGGTGTTGGAGGAGACTCTTGAGAGAGTCCCATGGACTGCAAGAAGATCAAACCTCTCCATTCTGAAGGAAATCAGCCCTGAGTGCTCACTGGAAGGACAGATCCTGAAGCTGAGGCTCCAATACTTTGGCCACCTCATGAGAAGAAAAGACCCTGATGTTGGGAAAGATGGAGAAGGGGACAACAGAGGACGAGATGGTTGGACAGTGTTCATGAGTTTGACCAAACTGCGGGAGGCAGTGGAAGACAGAAGTGCCTGGCGTGCTCTGGTTCATGGGGTCACGAAGAGTCAGACACGACTAAACGACTAAACAACAACAACAAACTATCAACGCAGATTGTGCACCTTTGCTTTCTCATACGAAGTCCACACTGGTGGATGCTAGTTAAGGCCACTTCAAGTGAGATTGCTTTGCTACATGGAAATTTCATGTGCATGTGTGCATCCCCTGCCACATGTATATCCAGGCACAGGCTCACTCTATGCCCAAAGATGTCATTGGATTATGACATCCTTCACCCCGAAGACTGGCCAAGGTGGCTTGGGTCGATGTTTGTTGTATTCCAGAACATCTGGAGGATGTCAAGGTGCCCACCACTGCTCTTGTCAAATCATCTTTTGCAATAAATTAATTTTTGTGATATGTATCATCCAGAAGTGGAGAAGATGCAATTAGTTTGGCAACTGGCAGGCATTTTTCATAGGCTTGTTAGGTTCATCCGCCTACCCTAAGCCTTACCATTGACACTTTCCCAAGCTAAACATACCCAGCTCCTTCAACCGTTCCTCATAAGGGTTGGTTTCCAAACACTTGATCATACTGGTCACCCACCTCTGCAAACGTTCCGGCTTATAAACATCTTCTTGAATTGTGCCACCCATAACTGGACACAGTACTCCAGGTGGGGTCTGACCAAGGCAGAATAGAGTGGGACTATTACTTCCCTTGATCAGCACAGTAATAGTTGATGTAGCCTAGAATAGCATTTTTTGGCTGCTGCAGTTCTTGTATTGTTTCAGAAAGTGTAAATTAGGTGGGTTTGCCTTTTAACTATGAACTGAATTGAATTTCACCCTCATCCTGAGCTGGGTGTGTCTGAACCACAGATTGGCAGAGGAGGAGGGGGCAGCTGAGTCCAGAGAACAAAGAAGTAGGAGAAGCCGCAGCTGGATTTTCTCCCACAGTTTTGGAGAATTTAAACCTCTGCATGCCTCTGGACAAGCTGCAACCAGGCAAGCCCACTTATGAAGCTATGAATAAATGGACCCACATTTGTATGAAGCCAAACAAACAAACACACCATGAAAGACTGGAGGGCCCTCGTTTCTTTCCTTCCTTTCTCTCTTTTTTTTGGTGAAGTGAATGAAGTAAAACCAACAAACAGTCTATTACGATATTGATTGTTCCCCATGCATCATTATAACAGGTTCTCACACCATTTTCTCAACCACTGGTGATCAATAGCATCACAATCACAAAGAGCACGCGCGTGAGAGGCTATTTTTTCATCACTTTTAAAAGGTTTACACAGCGGCTCCTCAAATTAATAGCGCCCTCCCCCGCTGCTAACTGCTGGTCGCGATTTTTATCATTTGACAAGGCCATTCAGAGAAATGCTGCTTCTCTGTGGGAATTATAAAGGTTCTGGAAGCAAAACGTTGGCACAGCTAAAGAAAGAGGTGGACATTTAAACTCCCCAACTTGGTCAGATAAATACAGGTGACCCGATCGCAAAATTCAGACCCTTGCATTCCAGTGGCTAAACTTTGGTA